ATGTGAAGGCATTGGATTATAGGAGCAACTGACTAATTCAAGGCTCAAATGCAAATGAATTATGATTTCCAATTCAAGGGATCAGAAGCAAACACTCTGATTAAGAATGGATAAGTTGAATAGATTTAGGGGTACATTCGATGACAACTTGATTGGTCGATGACCAGCTCATGTTCAAAATGCCCTTAGAGCTGGAAGGATGAATTCTAGGAATTGATTGAGGATTGCGAGCATTCACAACATATTGAATTCAATGGACTCAAAATGATAATGACAAAGGATGCCAATAAGATTACCTGACTTATGGGATTAATCATAATGAAAGCAAGCAAGAATTTCAAGAGCAATAGGCTGTTGAGGATTTTCGGAGGATCGAATGGTATTTCGAAGACTTTTGTGAAATACATGTATCAACTAGGAATAATCAAATCCTCGATAAGTATGAGGGATTTTCAGTAGGGTGTTCATGTGGCAAAGAACTGAAAGGCGGTAGGCACAAAGTATTCTCGAAACAATAGAGTATTTCGGGGTATCCTGTAATAATAAGATCATCGAGAATGATTGTATGAGTGACAAGTGTACGCGGTCATCCATAGGGGGTTTATCGATGAAAGGGAATTGCAAAAGCGATGGCACAAAGTCTCGAGAGAACACCGTAGAGTATCTTCAGAATCTTCTGGTGCCGCAGGCGATCATCTGTAACAAGGGGCTCTCCGGGTGGATGTGATCACAAGATCCTAATGTTAGAGTTAGTAAAACCATTTTAACCCGAATAGATGAGAGATCAGAGTCCCGGAGTATAGACGAGGGGTAAAAGATCCTAGTACCACCCAATGGCGACGTGGGCCCATAAGCCACACAGCCATGTTTGTAAAATAGTTTTCATCGACTAGACTTAACTTCGGCCAAGGAGTGTGGAAGGGGGATTCCTACAGGAAGTCGGCTCTGATACCAACTTGTGACGCCCCCGATTCAATCGTACACTAATCATACATGCAAACGTGTACGATCAAGATCAGGGACTCACGGGAAGATATCACAACACAACTCTACAAATAAAATAAGTCATACAAGCATCATATTACAAGCCAGGGGCCTCGAGGGCTCGAATACAAGAGCTCGATCATAGACGAGTCAGCGGAAGCAACAATATCTGAGTACCGACATAAGTTAAACAAGATTGCCTTAAGAAGGCTAGCACAAACTGGGATACATATCGAAAGAGGCGCGAGCCTCCTGCTTGGGATCCTCCTAAACTACTCCTGGTCGTCGTCAGCGGCCTGCACGTAGTAGTAGGCACCTCCAGTATAGTAGGAGTCATCGTCAATGGTGGCGTCTTGCTCCTGGGCTCCATCATCTGGTCGCAACAATCGGGTATAGAAAGGGGAAAAAAAGGGAAGCAAGGCAACCGTGAGTACTTATCCAAAGTACTCGCAAGCAAGGAGCTACACTACATATGCATGCATTGGTATCAAATGGAAAAGGGGTAGAATATGTGGACTGAACTGCAGAATGCCGGAATAAGAGGGGGATAGCTAGTCCTGTCGAAGACTGCGCTTGTAGCCACCTCCATATTGCAGCATGTAGAAGAGAGTAGACGGTAAGTTCACCAAGTATCATCACATAGCATAATCCTACCCGGTGATCCTCCCCTTGTCGCCCTGTTAGAGAGCGATCACTGGGTTGTATCTGGCACTTGGAAGGAAGTGTTTTAGTTAGTATCCAGTTCTAGTTGTCATAAGGTCAAGGTACAACTCCGGGTCGTCCTTTTATCGAGGGACATGACTATTCGAATAGATCAACTTCCCTGCAGGGGTGCACCACATTTCCCAACACGCTCGATCCCCTTTGTCCGGACACACTTTCTTGGGTCATGCCGGGCCTCGGAAGATCAACACGTCGCAGCCCCACCTAGGCACAATAGAGAGATCATCACGCCGGTCTAAATCCTATGGCGCAGGGGTCTGGGCCCATCGCCCGTTGCACACCTGCACGTTGCGAACGCGGCCGGTAAGCAAACCTAGCCTCCCTAATATAAGAGCAGACGTTCCAGTCCAATCCGGCGCGCGTTGCTCAGTCGCTGACGTCATGAAGGCTTCGGCTGATACTACGACGTCGAGTGCCCATAACTGTTCCCGCATAGTTGGTTAGTGTGTATAGGCCAGTGGTCGGACTCAGATCAAATACCCAGATCTCGTTAAGCGTGTTATCTTGAAGTAACCGCGAACGCCGACCAGGGTCAGGCCCACCTCTCTCATAGGTGGTCTCAACCTACCCTGTCCCTCCGCCACAAAGATCCACCCAGAGGGCCATCGGGACAAAGGTCCTTTCAGCCCCCAATCCGTGAATCACTCGCGGGTACTCCACGAGCCGACCCGACTTTAGTCACCACATGTATCATGGGTAATATGTATAGTATATACCCGTGATCAACACCCGACGTGATCACGGCCCGATAGTATAGCATGACAGACTGACAAGAATGTAGGGCCACTGATGATAAACTAGCATCCTATACTAAGCATTTAGGATTGCAGGTAAGGTATCAATAAATGTAGCAACAATGACAGGCTATGCATCAGAATAGGATTAACGGAAATCAGTAACATGCTACACTACTCTAATGCAAGCAGTAGAGAGAAGTAGGCGATATCTGGTGATCAAGGGGGGGGGCTTGCCTGGTTGCTCTGGCAAGAGGGAGGGGTCATCTTCGATGTAGTCGAACACACAGACATCGGCAGCGGTCTCGGAGTCTACCGGAAAGGAGTAATGGAGGAGGAACACAATAAATAACAGAGGAATCAAATGTAACACAAAGCAAGACACGGCAATACGTTGTGCTAGGGGTGGCCTAACGTAGGGATAGGCGATACTGGCGAAGGGGGGGAACATCCGGGAATGTATTCCTGGTGTTTCGCGTTTTCGGACGGATGAATGGGAGAGGGAAAGTTATGTGTTTGCTATGCTAGGGATGTGTGACGGACGAACGGGCTGCTTTTCTGGATTCGTCTCGTCGTTCTGAGCAACTTTCATGTACAAAGTTTTTTCATCCGAGTTATGGTTTATTTTATATGACTTTTCAAAGTTTTATTCATTTTCCGAGGTTATTATTAATTCAAAATTAATAGGCAAAATGCTATGGGTACCCAGCCCTGTGTACACGGAGGCTGAGATGTGGGCCAGGGGACCCAGTTGACAAGTCAAAGTTTGACTGGTCAACAGATGGTGGGGCCCTCCTGTCATTGACTGCCTAGTAAACTAACAATTTTAGTTAGACTAATTAAGCAGTTAACAGGTTAATTAACAGGATTAATTAGATTAACTAATTCATTTGATTAATTAATTAACTAATTGTTTTAATTATTATGTATTTTCATTTATTTATTTTTCGTTCACGGGTGGACCCCACGTGTCATTGGCCAGGGGCCTTAGCGGGCGCCTGGAGCGTAACCCGAACGGGCGCATGAAACGGGCGACGGGCGTGGGCGCCCGAAGGGCAAACCCGGGGCGCGACGAGCCGTAGCGGCTGCCCGGAGGCGCCGGCGCGGGTGGGTGAGGCTGCGAGGGGCGGAGCGGTTGGGGGTGGCGGTCAGGCCGGCGAGCCGGCGAACCACGGCGGAGCGAGGCGGCTGTGGGGCACAGCGTGGTGCGGGCATGCTTGTGCACGGTGGTCGTGGCCGCGGCCGGAGCAGCGGCGCCGCCGGGCTAAGCGGGGCAGCGCGGTGGAGCACGCGCGCGGGACGAGCACCGACGCCCAGCAGCGCGCGGGGGCAAGGCGAGCTTGCAGGGGCGATGAAGCGGGAGACAACGGGGTGAGGGCGTCACGCGGCGCGGGGCACGGCCTGGACGCGGCCGACGAGCAGAGGCGCGCGGGCCTGTGCAAACGCGCTCGCGGAGGGGCAGCAGAAGAGAGTAGCGGCAGCGCGACCAGGTGCTCGCGGGGCGTGCCTGGGCGCGTCGGACGGCGCGCTGGAGTCGAGGTGTGAGCGCATAGTGGGCGTGGCGATGCCGAGCGAGCAGCACGCGACGGAGCTGCCAGTCGGAGGTGGTGCAGGCGATGAGAAGCGCATCGGGGAGGGGGAAGCAGAGCAGGAGCAGCTACGGTAGCGCACACGGGTAGGGCTGGCGCGCGTGGAGGCACGGTCGGGGTTCCTCACCGCGGGGCCGTAGGGACTAGGCAGTAGGGCGTGGGAAGGACGACGGGGACGAGGCGACGACGGGGACGGGGAGGCAGGCCGGCATGGTGGCTCAGTCGACAGGGAGGCCTTCGGGCGGCGACACGGCGTCAGCGGGGTTCGGGGCGAGCGACGGGGTGACGGGATCCAGATCGGGGGAAAGAGGAGAGGTGGATCATGGGGAGGAGTGGACCGGTTAGGATTAGGTTACGGGGGTGGGGGTGGTTATAGGCCAGGGGAAAAACTGGGCCGGTTAGCTGGGCCGTGGCCCAGTGGGGGTGGCCCTTGTTTTCCTTTTTTTCTTTTTTCTTTTTTTAACCTTTCTGTTTTATTTTAGCTATTGCTTCTATTAGTTTATCCACTAAAAGGCTTTTGTAAAATGAAACAATTTGTCAGAACAAATACCAGTGTTCTGCCACAAAAATCTTGGAGTTTTAAATAAAATAGTTTAGAACTTCTATAATTTTGAAAAGGCATTTTAGTAAAGACTTGGCCCCTGTTTTAATTGCATTAGGGCAACTAAACATTTTATTAATGTTGGTTCTCTCTGATAATTAGTTAAAGAATATTTGCAAATCACCGAACATTTTTATTTTACCGTTTGAAGAAACAACAATTTGACTTTATTTTAATTTGAATGTGAATCGGTTTGGATAAAAGTGAGGTTTATTAAAATAATCATGATGACCTGGCACCATTAGTGTGTGATTATTGTAGCTTAATGACCGGGGTGTTACATCGCCTTTATGCCCTTTTTGTGCTTCTAGTTTAGAAGATACAAAGCATCTGATGTTTCAGTGCCAGAAGGAAAAGGAGGTCTGGGGAATGCTTGGCTTAGATGAGTTCATTGCTCAAGCTTGTGAAGTTGATCATACTGGAGAGGCGGTACTCGGTTTTTTGTTGCACATGCCTGATCAAGATTTATCTATTATGGGGTCCCAGAATATTCGGGAGATGATTGCCATTACGTGTTGGTATTTGTGGTGGGAAAGACGAAAATTAGTGCATGAGAGAGTTCAAGATGCAAAACATATTTCAATGGGGATACAAGCTCTTACGACTAATTATGTTGTTGCTTCCAGTCCAAGGGCTTCTATGAAAGAAGGGGGTTGGATTCATCCCCCGGTGAGTTTTGTAAAACTTAATGTTAATGCTTCTTTTGATCATGATTTTCTTAAAGGTACGGATGGGGCTGTCCTGAGGAACGACAAAGGGAAGTTTATTGCGGGGGTAATTGGAAAATTGATCATTGTGTCGATGGTCTAACAGCGGAAGCTTGGGCTATCAGGTTCGGTCTTTCACTAGCACAACATGCTGGTTGCAATCGCCTTGTTATTAATTCTGATGATTTGGAGGTTATTGAAACGATGAATAATGACGGACCGTCAGCAGGAGCGACGGCGGCAATTTTTGATGATTGCTATTTTTTGGCGTGTGATTTTCCTACCTCTAGGTTTAAACATTGTAATATGGAAGCCAATAAGGTTGCACACGAGCTTGCTAGGTTGGCTAGATTTTCTTCTAATGTTGATTGGTTTGAGGAGCCTATGATTGAGATTGTACCTTTCCTCACAAACGTTGTATCTATTATTTCGGTTGAATAAAGTCCATATGTTTTAAAAAAAAGATGATACATTTGTGGAATTGTGACACTTTCAGTTTAGAGCAACTCTAACAGATCCTGTAAAAACATATCATCTGAAAGCATTATACAGCTATTGCGAGGCACTAAGCAGAGCAGATCCCGTAAAACGGTACTGTAAAAAATTCCTCCTTTTTCTCCTCACACTTCTTCTTCCTTGGGACGCACGCATGGTCAGACTCAAACTCCAGCTGGCCAGAAGGGTGCCGCTCCGGCCTGTTGCCTGGTTCGGTCCGTCGCTGGCGCTCCGGCCCGCCACGTGCTCCGGGGATGCTCCGGCCGGCCGCTACCGAGCTCCTCCGCGTGCTAGCTTCTCGCGCGTGGTGTCGCCAGGCTCCCTGCTCTAACGTTGACCGCTCTACAGATTCCCTCGAGAACGACTCGAAAACTCCAAATATGAGGCATGGTTGCTCTAATATACGAAATCTGTAAAAACAAAGGATCTGCCGTTTAGAGGATCTATTCGGCGCGTTTTCTGCAAATTTAAAGGTTTGACCGGGATATTTGTTTTTTTTGAGAATTAGGTTTGACCGGGATATGATGCTCTTAGCCCAGTGCACTACAAACGTATTGACGGCCCATTCGCCAAAAAAGAAGTGGGTTTCAATCCCCTCCCCGGCCCATTCGCCATCACTCACCCCGTCCCCCTCCCCCGTGCTGGACGGCGCCGCCGGAGCTTTCTCCTGCCGCCGCGCCATGTCCACCCCAGCTGCTCGATCTCGCCCATCGGAGGACGGACTCATCAGGTACGTAGAGTATGCATCGCCATGAATCATCGCGACCTTCCTCTCCCTTCTTCACCCGATCCCCTAACCTTATTCCCCATCGTTGTGTGTGCAGGTCCTCCTCTTCGCCTCCCAGCGGCAGCGAGACGGCGGCCGAGAGACTCACCGACGACCTCCTCGTCGAGATCCTCTCGCGCGTGCCCGCCAAGTCGCTCTGCCGCTTCAAGTGCGTCTCCAAGCACTGGCTCGGCCTCACCAACGACCGCAACTACCGCCGGAAGCTCCCCCAGACCCTCACCGGCTTCTACCAGGGGAATCAATTGGTGGATTCAGGTGTTCCTTTCACCAATGTCTCGGGGAGCCGCCATCTCACACATCCCGCCTTCCTGCCCAACCGCCGGCAGGTCAAGATCATGGACTGCTGTAACGGCCTCCTTCTCTGCTCCTCATACGTTGCCGGCGACCATGGCGACGTGTTCCGGTACATTGTGTGCAATCCCGCCACAGAGGAATGGGCTGAGTTCCCGTACTGCGGCTATTCCGGCCTGGTGGCTAATGCACGCTTGTGTTTTGATCCAGCCGTGTCCCCTCATTTCCATGTGTTTTTGTTGCCGGTGGCGGATATCTGCATTACCGGAGTGCATGTCTATTCATCTGAAACCGGGAGTTGGGTTCATAAGGAGAAGAGATGGAGCGGCACTATTGATGTCGCTAATGATCGGTCAACTGTTTATCTTAATGGTTATCTGCATTTCTGTGCCATTGTTGATGGTTCTGACGGTCGTCTAGCTGCAGTGGACAAGGAGGGGGGAGCAAGGACTAACTTCCGTGTTCCTGATGGTCTGGATGTTGGTTTTATTCAGCTGTCACAGGGCTGCCTGCATTATGCTGGTTTTGACACAGATGATGATAATGTTGTTCGACTGCTAGTTTATGTTCTTAAAGACTATGACCGCAAAGAATGGATACTGAAGCATAGCGTCGAAACTTCGCATTTGCTTGGAGGGCGACACATAGAATACCTTGATGAGGACTTTGATTGGATTGCAATTCATCCAGAATGTGACTTGATCTTCTTCGCTGTGGCCCAGGAGGATATCACATTCATGTGCTATGATATGGATAGTGGACAAGTTAAAGTGATGTGCAATCTTGAAGATAGCAACCAGGCATATTTTCCGTATGTGCCACTATATGAAGAGTTACAATCGTTGCACAAGTGACGTCTTATTCGTGCTATGGAGCAGTGGGCATGGTATGTCTGCTTGAATTTGGTCCTCCTTTCTCTGATGTGTTTAAGTTTGGAGCAATGCTGGTTTGTTCTGGGGGCACTGCAGCTGATTTCTATCTCGGACTAGTGATTCAAAGTTTCAGTGCACCTTCTGTTGTGTGTACTTGTTTTGTCTTGGTATACCAATGGTTCTGGCCAACGGGAGATTGTGATACACTTTGGATGATTACATTATCACTTCTTTTGCTGCTATGTTTTTTCTGTCTTTTAAATAGGTTATTTTATTAGCAGAACATCACAGCCACAATGATGCTGTTGATAGGAAATGTCATAATGTTCATTCTGCTGTTAGATAACTTTTGACACAAAATTCCTTCAGAAGACTAGAAAGACATCCTCTTTATTTATGGGTTTTGTTCGCATAGGTAGGTTTAGAGAGTTTAAAATAAGCGACACCGGGCACTTCCCATGTTAGTCTTGCCTATAATGGTGCACATACACTCCAGTCCAACACAATGTCGCTGTGTTAATAAGAGGTAATTTGACTTACCACTGAAAGGTTTGCCTAGCGGGACGATGTTCAACTCTTTCTGGTGATTGATGCTGAGAAGGTCATTATCGAAACTAATTTCTTTAGCCGGTCAACCTATATACGGCTAGTTTTTCGAGCAGAGCTGCAATCTTGTTCTTATGCACATTCAGGAGCTTAGTAGGGTCTTTTCTTTTTTTGATTTAGTTCATGTAAAACAAAAAGCCAATGTGGCAGCCCACCAAACCGCTAAATAATCTTTTCATACTGGTCCTTTGTGTGTCCTGATCTCCCAGGTCCTGGTCTTCCTTGGACCCTGTATTCAGCAAGATTGTAACCTTGCCCACTTATCGACATTAACTTGGTTCTAGAAAATGAGGAAATAAGATTGCACGGGATCGAAAGCTAATTTCAGACATTGTTTTGTTGAAAGTTAGAGCAAATCAAAGCTACTGCTGTAATAGGATTGTATCAGGTTGCTGCGCTAATGATATGTGTTTCGCACTTTTTAGTTGTCAGCTAGCCCAGGTAAAGCAATTGGTACGGTTAGAGAACTAATGGTGAAATGTTACTTGCAATACAAGTTCTTTCTGTTATCAACACATATAGTCCATATGGTTATGAATAGGCTGACATTGAAGAAGAAAAGTGAACCTCGAGGGTGGTTCCTCTTACGTTCACTTTGATGATTACATCGAGTGGAATCCACCGAGGGTGATTCATCAGGTTTTCTTCCTTGATGTTTTCGACACACGGTTACCTGGACTTTACCTGAGACCATTGTTGAAGTCGGGTCGGCCTTGAGGGGTACCCGCGAGTTGATGTAAAAGTCGGGTGGGCCGTAGAGCACCCGTGATTTTTCTATGAGGCACGACCGGGCATTCTGGGCGCTTGCCATAAGTCTACGAGACGGGGCGACGGGGTCATATTATCGTGAGTCTTTGCTTGTCTCCGCGAGCCCCCACTGCACTAACAGGTTTGGGTATTTGTTCTGAGTTGTCCTTTGGCCTTTACACACTAGCCACCACGTGAGAATAGTTATGGGCCTCGACGTCGTAGTATCAGCCGAAGTTTTGTCAGACTTCTAGTTCAGCATTGCGGCACGGCTGGGCTGACACCATCCTGTAGTGCTGGAGCCTGATCCGCCCTGCTCGCAACGACCTGGAGTGCAACGGGCGATGTGCCTAAGACCTCGGAGTGCTTAGGATGTAGACCGGCGGGGACCTCTCTGCTAAGACTAGGTAGAGTTGCGACATGTTGATCTTTCGAGGCTGGACATGACTCAGGAAAGTGTGTTCGGCCAGAGTGATCGAGCGTGTTGGGTAACGTGGTGCACCCCTGCAGGGAAGTTATCTATTCGAATATTGTGTCCACGGTAATAGACGTTCAGACTTGTATCCTGATCTATTACAACTAGAACTGGTTACTTGAGACATGAGATGGATATGTTGGCTTCGGGATTGCTTTCTTGCAGGGAGTCAAAGGGAGAATCTCTGGGCATCAATATTACAACATGTTTGTCAAATATAAACTGTTATTTTATACTCTTCTGAATGCTGCAAGATGCTTGGAATTGCTTGAAGATGCTAGTCTTCGATATGCTAGGCTTTCCCCTCTATTCAGGCATTCTTCGATAGGCTTTTCTGCATAAAATAAGTTTTCTTAAAAAAAACACTAAACCTATTCCTATTTGGCTGAACCCATCGTCAAAAAAACAAACGAGCAGGGCAGAGAAAGCCCAGACTTCCCACGACCCGGTCGTCTTCTTCGAGCGTTCATGGCACAGGCAGGATGCACGCACGCAGCACATCTCCACCCAGCGCCCCACTCCTCCCCTCCTCTTCCTCACCCCAAAACCTCCAGAACGGATCCCTCTCCCTTCCCTAACCTCTCCCTCTCCCATAATGTACGCCCTAATACGCCCTAATGGCAGTTACAACACGAGAAACGGCTGCCATTGATGCCCTTAAAACCAGCGACGCCCTGCTCGCCCCCGACCTCCCCTGGCCCTCTATAAAAGCCCTAGATGTCGCCCAAGATCCCCTCGTCCAAAGCCCCCTCCGTGCAGGAGCTATCTCCTTCTCCATCTTTCCAAATTGCTCGCCGGATTTCTACCCTATCGCCACTGTCCGTCAATTACTACGGTGATTCGGACCCTCTTATTCATTTCTTCTCTCTATAACTTCAGTTCGCATCCCTTGACGTTCGGCCTTGTTTGAATCCTTAGCCGGAGCACGAGTTTAACGTTCACCGGACTGCATCAGTGCTCTGACCACTCCGGCGACTTCCCATCACCTGCAGAGGACGACATCGACGACGCTGGCGTACCCCTACTGCTCTCCGCGACGCCCTCCACCCCGTCCTCTACCCGCTGGTCGCCGGAACGCCGCCAAATTTCCTCACGGTGAGCACCCAGCCCTCCCGTCTCAAGCATGTTCTCAGATAAAGCTGTTCCAGCCAATAGGAACAAGACACGTTGCATTCCCTATAATTCCCGAATTGCTTTTTCAGAAAAATATTTAAACTTCGGAAAATCATATCTCCTAACCCATATGTCCAAATTCGACAAATTTTATATCCCTGGATTCCTTGGAACATCTAGTTTATTATAAAAATTTGAGATCTCAGTTTTTGGGAAGTTAAAATTTAGTCCTGATTTAAATGATAAATTAAGTATTTTTGCAATATCTATTATTCTGTAAATCATATAAAATTGTTTTATATATGAAAGTTGGACCTTAGGACCTTTCTGTTGGAACTGATGGATTAATTTTCCAACATATTTTAGATGCTGTTTTATGATCAACACCTTAATTTGACCTTCTTTGATCATCATTTAATAACTTCATTGAACTAAAATTTAATCCTAGGATAAAACTCTTAGATTGATCCCTAGGGAACCTCTCTGGTCATATGCCATCATTATACCAGTTTGGACTTAGGAAATGTTACATAAATTTTGTAACATAAACCTTATGCCACCAACTCCATCTTCCATTTTCATTGGACCCAAAGTCAATATTCCAATCAAACACATTATAGACTTTGTCATGGAACCTTGCCTCACAACCCTTCAACCATGATCCTAACTTGTATCAATTTGATCCAACCCAGAATATGATCTATGTCATATTTTCAATCAAGCCAATTTGATCCATCTCAACCCTACCACGCCATAGTAACTAGCTTAGTAATAGTAGAAACTAAATAATTTGTATTGAGAATTTGTATATTTTATTTGGATCTTCATTTGGATTTTGTTGTGTGTTGAATTATTCTCTTGTATCGTTAGATATATCATAAGGTGAAGGAGAGACGACTAAGAGTAGAATATTTCATCTTCAAGAGACTCGGGCAAGTTGCAACTTGATCATTCCTTGTCCTATGTTTTTGCAATATGCATGAACTCTTTTATTACTATGCATTTTTACTAAATAAAATTGCAAACAACTATTGCTAGCTAAAGTCTTAGGAACTTGCAGCTATGCTTAGCCATGCTTACAAACAAAAGGGTTGGGAACCAAACAAGTTTTAAACGATTAAACTTGTCCTCTTTTGGGGCAACGTTTTGCGCCCATCAGGGTCTTGCAGTGAATGCGCCCGACTGGGGTCTTGCACACAGGTTTTTGGTGGGGACCGCCGTCCAGTGGACCGAGATCTTCCAAGTATAGTTTGATGTAGCTTTCGGTACAGCCACATGATATTATGGCTCTGGCTTAGCTTTTCCATATCGGGAAACCCTTTATTCAGGTACGGTCATTGAAGAGAGGTCTTAATAGCCAAGGGAGCGGGCCGTGCTAGAACTAAGTAAAGGGGGCCGTTTGGAAAGGCTTCGTCACAATCTCCTCTCGGTCGCACACCCAAAGTTGTGTCACGGCACAAAGGCTTGATTGTGTCATGTGGGGAACGTGTACGACCTCTGTAGAGGGTTAAACCTAATCGATGTAGAGGGTTAAACCTAATCGATTAGGGAATGAGCACAGTGAATGTGTTTCACTTCAACCTTATGTATGTTTTAAACTATTTTTGAGAATGAGCACTGGTGCGTATATCCAAGTGTCTCACTCCTATCTTTTATACTAAAAAAACAATTTCTATTTCAAAAGAAGTTTACAAAATTTAGTATAGGAGAAAATTGGCTTTATGCAAATCAAACCTCCACCAATACTTACCCTGCATGTATAATTTGTTATACCTTCCCTTGCAACTTGCGAATACATTTCACGTACTCATCTACACCTGTCATGTGCAGATCTAGACATATTAAGACATGATAGGGTTATGGTCTACACTCAACGAGCCCAGTGGCGTTGATGGAGATCTAACTTAGTGACTACGTATAATTCCGCTGTATTATGTGCCAACTTGAGCTATGCCTAAGGTATGATATATATCTGGATCTACCGTTGTAGTAGAATGATGTATGTCTTACTGATATTCATTTTTGTTACTGTGTGTGCTAG